TTTTATTCTTTGTATAAAATTTTAAACTTTATAGACATATAAACTATAAAAGTAGCTCAAACTTTAAAATTTTATATTAAAAATAATTTTATTACTAAGTTACAACTAGTTTAAAATAAATAAGTAACTTGATTTCTTCAAAATTTACAATAACATTTAATCTTATTTATAAACTATGTAGTTAGTAAATAGGGTTAAAATACTTACTAATCTTGTTGAATTCGGATAAGTGAAATCAGATGAGCGAGTTCGAATAAGCAAATAAATAACTATATAACTGTATAACTGTATAAGCGAGTATTAAAACATCTTATTCTCATGTGAGAAGGATCAATCACTTTTGTGTCTCCAAGGAACCCGCGCGGGAAATCCCGTGATAGGTAGTTACCCACTGGATTTGACAGATATCCGTCTGACTAAGCAGTGATGCGCCACGACTAACAACTAACTAACTAGTTAACTAACTAGTAGTTAACTAGTTAGATGGTTGGACGCGCCCCAAAAATACATTAACTGGCCCATCTGGACACTGTTCAAGGTTCAAGCTCTATATACACGGGTAACCCTCCAAACATGGACGCGTCGAGGTATACATACAATGTCGTATGTGTTTTGATGGATAACTAGTTAGGTAAGTGACTTTTCTTCTGGACGTTTCTACCTGTGCAGGCTATGCGGCGTGGCTGGGAGGAGAGGGACTCCGCTGTGTATGATGCATACCGCTCCTCCGTGCAAGTTTGGCCCAGTTAGTTACGCTATGAGAGTGTTGAAAAGCGTCGCGTTTTTTGTTTTGCTGGCGGACTCCTTTTGTCTATAGATATATATACTTTTTGACACTCTTGTTCACTCGTCATAGTCAGGTATATTATATTGATTTTCGTTGCTGGTATGACTAGGGCCACAGTCACCCTGGGGTTTCTTCGTTAACATCAACGCACTTGAGAAGGGGGCCATTCATCATTTCCAAGCGCCGGATATTGAGGATAGGGGTCAATTGAGTCTCTATATTTGCACGCTTTGATATTCCTGGCTTCTGACCCTTGAGTGGGGATTGGCATCGACGCTTTTGAGGGTTACGTACTGTACGTCCACGCATTGTGCGCGGCATCTGACGTACAATCTCTATCTCTAAGCGCCCGGATAAGAAGGGATATCAACCTTTCAATTTCTGGCTGGCTTTGATACACCTTGTAATCAGTTCCAATGGTTCCCCCCAAATGAGCCAGATATCCCGACGACATTGATTTTATTCCCCGACACGCCTATGTCTTACCTTCAATCGAACATCGATTTTCTGAATACACAGACGATATATAATAAGAATGATAGGCTTCTTGAGTCCTTCCCTGCTTATATTCGGAGACTGAAATCTCAAGGAAAGATGTCGCAACATGCACAGGCGTCCCCGCCTCCGCCTCCTACGGAAGCGGGAAGACGGGTGGTAAGTTTGCGAAATATATTTGTCTCAATTCCTACGCGTATCCAATTTTGGTCCGTTCTAATTGGTCGTTTTGTATTCAGGTGCCTATGAAAGCTAGACGGGGGGGTATTAGTTTAGGTGGGAAGCGCAAGTTATCTCAAAGTGAGCTGTTTCGTCGACCGGGAACTATCTATCTCCCATCTCATTCCTACCACCACCACCACCATCACCACCATCGCCACCGCCAACAACAACAACAGTCGTCGCAAATAGCTTCTGAGAATGCTCCGGAAGCATCGACATCATCGACAGCAGGTGTGAAAACTGATGTATCCACAAACAACCAGCCGAGTGCGATTGTTCAGTCGGCATCATTGGCAGGAGGGTTCTCGCCAGAGCCGGATTTGGATGACAGCGATTCATTGGATAAAAGGGCGCAATCCTTGCTCCATCAATTTCTTTGTACCAGCTCAGCGAAGTTGATGAAATGGGCAGATTCTGGGCTGAGGTCAGAGTCAGAGTCGCGTAATTCCCAAGCACAAGCGGCACGGACTGCTGATGGTGAAGTTAAGAAGAATATTTTTGGTGCTGAGGTTTTTCTCGAGGGAGAAGGAGACATTGACTCGAAGAAAATTGTTAATTCTGAGAAGTTTCATTCAAATGAAAGTCTCTCGGGGAGAGCTCACGGTTCTCAATGTTCTGGTGTTATGCACAATAGTATAGCAACACCCGCAGCAACAACACCAAGGAATCATGTCAATCTACCCAGCAAAAGCATCCCACCGTTTTCAGGAATATCCGCTCAGAATCATACGCAGGATCTGAACAACGAACACATTGCTGTGTTACCTGAACTGGCTGGCATTGCCAGCTCCTCTACAGCTTCAAAAATCCAAAGTGCTCTGTCTGGCTTAGCAACCACAACTCCACCCTCATATCCCGTTCCTACTGTTGTTGTACTTCAACGTCCTCCCCCAGAAGTCTTTATCAAACCAGGTTTACGAGCATCTTCAACTTCCTTATCCACAAACCCACCGGAGAAGCATCCAAGGAAAAAGCCAGGACCAAAGCTTAAAATGGCCCGTTCTTACTGCAGCACCAGCTCCTTTGTTCCGCCAGAATGCCCAAGTGAGACTTCTGTACGACGTCCCCGGCGCGCTCGTGCTGCGCCAATTAATTACTACGCCAAACGTCCCGGATTTTATGGGTATAAGGATGAGGAGGAAGGTGAGGAAGAAACACGAGCTCCCGAACCTATTAAACCACCAGATGATAGCCACAAGGAAACCACATTGAATGACCAACTCGCTCCAGTTCCTGAATCTACACGCCCTCCATTTCGTTCAGAATACCGCTCTGGTTATTTGCAACTGGAGAAGTCGCCGTTAACTGAAGTTGTTTCCAATATGTTTGAGAAATACGCTCCGTACTGTTCACAAGATGCGAGAAAAGGGTATGGTAAGAGATGCGAGAATGAGAAGCTTGACGAAGACGATCCGGAGGGACAAGTGATACATGTAGATTTCGATCAACGGGAAATGGAAGGGCTTTATCTTACCATGACAGGAAAATTACCCGCTGAATCAGATGTCCCGCTGCCGGACCAGCTTATTCATGCCGCTCGTAAATTTTTCCCAAAACCGCGAGAGCAAAAGGCCTTGGTTGGGAAGATTTTCTATCTCAATGTCATTCGCAAGTCCCTGCTTGAGATAACTGATAACCCAATCGCACTCCTGCTTCATCTGCGTCAGAAAAATAATTCATGGCGTAAAGTCGATAAAGTACCCAATGTACAGACAATAATGCGGATCGTTTCTCATATCCCTCTAGTTTTCAATTTGCAGGAGGAACAGCCCAATCGCGTTCATTCTGTTCGTTATATCCAACAGGCTGTGCAGCGCATAAGCGACGATGAGTTTGATTACTTGGTATCAGTGCTGCCTCACATGGACTTTTTCAAATTTCGCAGAAAACAACATATTCGTGCTTTTTTATCAGACGCTGCACAAGGGCTTATTTCATCTACTCCTCACCTTTTACGGGCAATATCCTCTAATGCTGCATACCCGTCCCCAGATTACGATTCCATGAGGCCTTCAGCTTTACTCCGCGGACGTGAATTAGGCGAGAGGGTCTATCGACGGAAGACTCCTATCAATCGAAAGCTCCAGATGAACAAAAGTTTGGAACTCTGGAAGCATTGGAAAGGCGCGTCGAATGACGTTGTGGTTCTTGCATGGTCTCCTGATGGCACGCGCTTTGCTGCTGGCGCTGCAGCTCAGTCCGATGAGCATAATATGATGTATAACCGGAATAACAATTTGCTGCTGGGAGACTTAACTTGTAATTCATTGAAAGAACTTCCCGATCACCGTATCATGCGGCCCGCACCGCACAATGTTACGGACCCCAACCTCTACATGTCTGTCAGTGCTGTCCATTGGCGTGATGATTCGCTCTATACTGCCAGCTATGACAGCACTGTTAAGGTATGGGACGTCTCGACGCATTCTGGGGCAAGGTGTGTTAATACCCTCCGACACCATGGACGGGTTACTGTTATGGCTGTATCGAAATCCGGCACCGTTGCAACGGGCTGTGATTCCGCCTCTCATATCAAACTCTGGAATAAATCCGAAGACGGTCGTGATTACAGCCCCTTTGAACTGGCGTGTCATCCGACGAAAAACGTGGAAATGGTACCCTCTTCCCTGACCTGGGGCCCATTCTCCGCAGATAACTTTCTTGTCGCCGGGCTGGCTGGGCGCAACGATGAGAATTACAGAAATGGCTATCTTGCTGTCTGGCAGATGGGCGAAGCAGCTCCCGTTCCCTTAGCGGTATCGCCTAATTCCCAGAACGTGTTTGACGCGGTGTGGCACCCGACGGAGCGCATTTTTGCAACTGGTAACTCAGTGCCATTCACAGTTAGTACGCTGGGTCTTGCGAGGTCGACTCGCTCGATGGTCCGAGTCTACGACCCGCTGAGATCTAGGGCTTTGATATTCTATGAATGTCCGGCGCTTGATATTAATGACGTTACCTTTTGTCCCGCTAATCCCAATTATATCACCGCCAGCTGTACCGATGGGGTTACGTATGTGTGGGATTATCGAAATCCTGGCCAAGTTCTTCACAGACTATGTCACGGCACACCGATCTTGGAGCAAAATACAACTGTTTCTCGAGAACAGCATGATACCGGGGTGCGCATGGCGCTGTGGAGGAATAACTGGATCGACCAGTTTTATACCGGGGGTTCGGACGGCGTTCTTAAGAAATGGAACATTCTCAGGGCACCGGAGGATGTACTTGTTGAAAATACCGCGAGTTTTGATCAGGGGATCATGTCTGGTGCTTTCTCTCCCGATTTCACCAACTTACTTGTTGGAGATAGCTGTGGCAGTATTCATGTGATATCTAGTGCCCCGTTTTCCCGCGAGGGTGGAGAAACTCTGGTCTATGAGCCTGCTGATAAAGACAGAGCCTCGGAGGATGATGAAAACCTGGGTACCAAAACTGCACAGGAACTCCTCTCTTCCGGCAAGCTGAGTCGCCATCCCATATTTGGCGTTGGCCAGGGTCCTCGCTATGACGGTCCATTTGCCGCCTGGGCAAGGGCTCCAGGAACTCCCAGAGAACTCCTGCCAAGTACGCCTCTACTTCCGGACGTCCGGGCTATGCAGCTCTATGGGCCGTCCGTTAGTACTCGTCATCAACTTGATAGCGACGGCAAGAAACAACTGTCCGCTCGGATACGGGTGGCCATAGCTCAGAACCAGCTGCGAGGGAAAAATAAACGGAAGGGAAGCGAAGAGGCTGCAGAAGAAGCCGCTACGTTCAGGTCTTCTTCTGCCCATTCCTCTTCATCTTCTTTTTCGAGACCTCCCCCTCCTTCAAGGTTTTCTACTATTTCCCCGTCCCTATTTGTTTCGCATAGGTATGCAGACCATACGCATCAGTTCATCAGCATGCTCTCGGATGACGATGAGCCGGGCCCTTCTGTTTCGTATGCATCTTCGTCATCATCTTCTATCCGTTCTTCATCGCGCTCTACGGCTGCAGTTCGGATAAGGAGCAAATTACCGTCGACCAGCGCGAGTGCTATTGATCTTACGATTTGTTCTGAGGATCACGAGGTTGAGAAGCTATGCGAGCTTATGGAGGATGACTACTGGTGGCCGCGCAGTTGCGATGTGGATCCGAATATTCGCGCAGAATAGGTATTGCTTGGAGTCTTCAATGGATGGGTTATTGGAATTTTACTCCTCGAGCGATAGAGGTTGCCGCTTAGACGGTCTCCTTTTCTGCGCGCATTTGCCTGTTTGTTTTCCTCTTCATTTTTCTTTCCATGTTGCAATGAGCTACGATTTGTGTATTGTTATTTTGAGCGTATGATTAGTTTGGTTTCGGTTATGTCATTTTATGTTTTTGTTCCTCAATTATATTTCTCCTATAGTATGCTTGCATTTTCACAGACAGTTTACCCACGCAAAAATCCCAGCTTTCAAAAGCGCAACTGGCCCCTATCCATTAAGTCACGCTTCGCAAACACCCAAGCTGCCACCCCAACCACCAGCGGAACCAGGATAAACGGTGAACCAACTATACATCTCAACCCCTTCATCATAACATCATACTGCACCCTCTTCATAAGCTTCGCAAACTCCTTGCTCTCATTCAAACACGGAAACTCCACCTCCGGCCCCGGCACCTCCTTGCCCAAAAACTTACACAACGGCTCCCAGCCACTGCCTAGCTTATACTCCAGCAGCCGCTCCTGGGGCACAATGCGGCGGATCATCGCATAGTGTCTGCGATATGTGTCCTTCGCATTGCGGTACAGGCCTGCGCGATTTGAGGCGTTGAACATGGCATATTCAAGCTTGACCATTAGTGTTGCGGGGCGAGCGGCTAGGAAGGGGTCTAGCATGTAGCGGATAAAGAGGACGGTCCAGGTGTAGCCGGCGGAGAGGACGTAGGTGCTGAAGGAGTGGTACCATTTTTCGATGTCGCGATCGACGAGGATTACTTTGGCCTGTGCGGTGCGCTTTGTATCAATGCTTTGCGCTCGATGTGGACCCCTCCGTTTCAATTTCAATCGCGGAGTTCCAGCTCTCTAAATGCTATACCCAGGATACCATCCGTCCCCCAGGCCTCCTCTCTCAGAACCCCTTCTCCTAGCAATTCCAAATAAATCTACATACCTCCGGATACATATCCACAAACTCCTCCGAAAACCCAATAACAGGCATATCCGACAGGACGTGAAAGTCGCCCAGGAACGCATCGAAGTCCTCACGCGCTAGCGGCTTGCCCTTGCCGTAGAACTTCGCATCAATGGCTCGCTCCCATTGCACCTGGTCGCTAGTGCGCTCGACGAAGTCGAAGCCATGGTACGTGCGCAGACCGAGGATTTGGTAGGCGGCCATCATGGAGACGGAGCCGGTGCGTGGCATGCTGAGATGGAGGACTTCGAGGGGGGAGGTGCGGATGCTTGTGTGGGAGGGGGGTTTGGGTTTGAGTTTTAAGGGCATGGTGGGCTTTGAAGGAAAGATATTCTACTGCCCTTTTAGAGGGAAGAGGGGAGGGAGAAGGTTGTGGAAGGGCGGGAGGGGTGGTTGGGTGGCTTATGGGTTGAGGTTTGTTATGGTTTTTGAATGGTGGGCAACGATGTATGAAACCTGACTAGAATTGAGGATGGGGATTTCAATAATTCATTTCTTGAATCACGACAAAGGATAGCTTTTTATGTACTGTAGATAGACTATTTTCTTCATGTTCTAGTAGTAATGAATTCGGAGTTGCAGGTACTCCGAGCATGTCAGCTCGCAATTCCGGGTATCAGCCTATCTCGCACTAACGGCCCCGATGCACCGTATCAAGCCCCCCGACGCGATTCCAATGATGCTGTCCTTAAAAGATGGGGATATGTTCTACTAATATTGAAGCTCTCAGCTGTAGCTAGACAGATTGACATTTTGAAATTTCCAACTTTTAGGTCTGCAATGGTTCATGTGAACAAGTTGAGCCGGGCAAGGCTAGGAGATAGACTAAACTATAGTTTACTAAAAAGTAGTCAGTCAATTCAATGTAACTAACTAATTCCCAAGAGAGCGAGCAGTCAATTTGAAATATTATCTTACTCATCCACCTCAACACACAATTGTGCCATTAATTCACAGTAAAAAATGCAACAAACTCTACATAAACAGAGAGAAGAATTGAACTCATGGTATTCCTCATTAAAAAGCAAGAAATCTTCAACATTAGAGACTGCATATCTTTTTAACATGTTATACTTTTTATTATATTAGAGACTTATAAGTCAATCTTCAAGAATCAATTTATATGCAAATTCAATTAAATTGAATGAAACAGAAGAATATTACTGTAATAATCAATTTTAAGTAAATAATAATTATTTTTTTACTAAATAATTATTTATTTTTATTTTTTATATATTAATAAACACTATTTAATTAAATATTATTTATAATAATTTTTATAATATTATTTTAATTTATATAATTATAATAAATATTAAATATATAAAAAATAATTTTTAAAATATATTTATTAAATATAAATTATAAAATAAAATATTTTTATTATAATTAATTAAAGTTTTTATACTCTATAAATTAAGAATAAATAATTTTAATTTAAGTTAAGATATTAAATTAAATATATTTTTATATATTACTTTTAAAAGTTAAATTTTTTAAAATAATTAATTTAATTAAATATTATATATATATAAATAAATAAAAATTTAATAAAAATATAAATATAAAGTTTTATTTTAAAATAATATAATATTTAAATTAATATAATAAATAATAAATTTAAATTAAAAGAATTTTAAATAATATAATTATATTTTAAAATATTAAAAAATTATATAAATTATTTAAAAATATTCTCTTTTAAAATAATAAAAATAAAATTTAAAATTTAAAATTAATTATATATTAAATAATAATATAATAGATTAGTAAATTATTAAATATAATTAATTTTATAATTATTTTCAATTTTTTATTT